GGGGGGGACACTGAATGACAGTCCCTGAAGTGTCTGCATTTTTATACAGCAGAGGGGGAAAGCCAGACTCCAGCATGAGGGTCAGCCAGTTAAATTTCTTTTTACAAAAAAGCTCAAAAACCAAGAAAAAAAATCCAGTTTCTACGAAGTATGAAAGTGTCACAGATCTCATTCACACCGAACAATGCGGGCACCCTTTAATACAGGTCAGGTTGAATGGAAGCAAGAAAGAGGCAAGGGGGCGGGTAGAGAAGGGGACTTCGTGTAGGCGACCACTGTTCCTTCACTTCTCTTTCTTCTTCTTGTTGCTCTGAGAAGAGAAGAAACACAGCGCTTCAGCATACTGAAACAGCCTGAAGAGCAGAACCCATCCCTAGTGAGAAAGGGCCTCTGTCAATACCTGCCCCCCTACCTGGAGGGACTCTTTCTTTGACTACCTGCTTTGTCTGAAGGGGGCAAACCTGTTAGGAAGGGGACCCACAACCAGTAATTCTAGATCAGTGATGGCAAACCTTTTAGAGACCGAGTGCCCAAACTGCGACCCAAAACCCACTTATTTATCGCAAAGTGCCAACACGGCAATTTAACCTGAATACTGAGGTTCTTACTTTAGAAAAAACGCATACATTAATTTAAGATGATCCAAACAAAGTAAGGAAAGCAATCCCAAATGCTTTCATTTACTTAAAATTATTTGGCAGAGAATTCGACACTTTAATGATGGTCTGGGCCTGGTTGGGGCGATGGCACGCATGCCCACAGAAAGGGCTCTGAGTGCCACCTCTGGCACCTGTGCCATAGGTTCACCACCACTGTTCTAGCTGGACTGGCACTAGTCAGTCATGGCCTGGGAGTTCCACCCACCCACCTCTGCTTTGGCACAATCTTTCAAAGTTCACAAAGTAGTTAAATCACAGCCCACGTCTAGTTTCTCTGAGGAAGATAGTCTTTGGGCTTACTTGAACGGCTTGTCTAGGATGAAAAGAAGATACCAGCCACTATGTCCTCAATGGCCTGACCCACCCTTCACACCTGTGTTCCTCGTTCTATCCTGCCCTTCCTTGGAGGAGCTCAGAGCGGTGTGCATGGCCCTCCCCTGCCAGTTTATCCACTCAAGGAGTTCGCTGAGTATGATAGACTGAGAAAAAGCAAGTGGACCTAAATCACACTCTCACGGTCTGTTTCCTGAGGATTTGAATCTGGTCATATCCCCACCCCCCCCACCCCCAGCCTGACACTCTTAACGATCATGCCACACTGCCTGTAAAACACAGCCTCAACAGGAAAAAACCTTTAGTGAATCTTCCTTGCTTGGTTGCCTGAAAGCTGCTTCTTATTTTGCACAGCCCTGTTCTAGATTTTCTGGAACTTTGAGACGGAAAAAGTCTCTCCTATATTCATCTATACTGCTTTTCAGAAAAGTAGCTTCTCTTGAACACTTGTCTTCACTAACTGGTGCTTAGGCATCCCACCCACAAGCACCCATTAGTGAATCCAAGTATTTTACAGGGATGTGCCACTCAAGAGAATCTGTTATGTCCTGTGCAGGATGTGGCCAACGGCCAATGTAGGCAAAACAACTTGGCCTTCCGCACCTTGGCTAACGGACCAGGACACAACACTTGGGGATAGCTGCAAATCAGTCCAGCGTTTCATTATAACCCCTTGTTTGTTCCACAGCCAACATTGCAAAATCCACTCCATGTGGCCACAGCTGGCAGGGTTGGGGGGCACTGCAAGGACAGACTCACCTCGTTCATGCCCAAGATGGTCATGAGCTCTCGGAAGATGCTGATGAAATCCAGGAAGAGATCCACACAGTGCCTGGTCGGAGAGAGAGGGGGGGCAGGATGGGCATCAAACAATGCACTGCAGCTTCAAAGCATCACACAAAAGCCAAAAGGAATCATGCCAAATCAGGGCCTCCATCCTCTTGCACTGGAATAGTGGGCTTCAAGCGCTGGGCACACCATACCCCTCCCACACTTCTTCAATTGAGATCTCCTCTGTTTAACTCATTTAAAAGTAAAAGTTTTCCTTGCTCAAAAGCTAGTCAAATCTGACTAGCGCGGTGCTCATCTCCGTTTCCAAGCAAAAGAGCCAGCGCTGTCTGAAGACGTTTCCGTGGTCATGTGGCCAGCATGACTAAATGCTGAGGTGCACGGAACGCTGTTACCTTCCCACCGAAGTGGTACCTATTTATCTACTTGCAATTTCTTGCTTTCAAACTGCTAGGTTGGCAGTTCACTTAGCTGGCAAATATTTTGCCTCTCATTTCAAGCCATTTAAGCCCTTCTTTTTGGGTCATCCGTAACCATTGACAGTAAAGATTCTCTGCCTGCTTCAAACTGAAGTCTGTATAAAAAAGGCTAGCTATGCACCTCTCCACTCCCTTTAAACCTCTTTCTTCTGATCTCACATTCCAGAGCTCTACTCTTCTCTATCCACCTCCTTGCCCCTGCACAAAGCCTTGGACTCAGCTGTCACTATTCCATAGGGCCCTGTACTCACCAAATGTAGTCCCCGTCTCCCCTCTCAGCCTTCTCAATGATGAGCTGAGTGTCAAACAGCACAAAGCCACACATGACCATGAGTCCAATGTAGAGGTTAGCCTGGAGCAAGATGATAAAGGTGCATTAGCCAAGAGTAGTCATATTTAACTGCTATCACCAGCCATCCCCCTGGTAGTCTTTTTGCTTAGTTCTGGTCTCCAGGTTTTGCAGTAGACCTTGCAAGATATTTGCTGACTGCTTTGCCCGGTAATCTGGGCAAGTTTCTACCCCGCGTGGCTACAAATATATGCCTGAAAGCGCACAGCAATTTTGGAGCAGAACATTTTTAATGGTCAGAGGATGGAGCGTCAGTACTGTCTCTCCTTACGATGAGCAGAACTGTGCATAAGAACAGTCTTGCAAAACTTTGCAATTCACACAGGCAAAGGACTCCGCTTCCACAGCATGATTTATGTTTACCCAGTGCAGAACTTTGATTTTTTTTTGGTACAAAGTTCCAGCAGTTCTCCCTTTCTTGCTCTGAAAAATGAAAGCTGAAGGGAAGTCAAAACTCATCTCAGCAGTCATTACACTGGACACTAATCTGGGGCAAGCTTGCAAGCTCCATCCTGAAAGAAGCCATTGCATCGTGCTTCTATTACCGACCCTCAAATCAACAGATTGAAATCAAGGAGTAAGTGCCAGAGTCTTCCCGTGAGCTCAGAGTGGGAGCGTGTAGGCTCCAGTTAGGGTACAGCTACTTACTGTGAAAAGCCAGGTGGAGCCCACAAACATATTGATCAGGGAGAGAAAGAGCATCAGAAAGAGGCCAGAGAACAGAAAACCTAACAAAAGGAAACAGAAGCATGGTGAGTAAGGAACAAGGTGCTGCAAAGCCCTCTTTCTCAATCCAGGAGGGTGCTGGCAGGCATCCCCTTTGAAATCCTTACCTCCCAGGTACAGGTAGGCACGGCGCTTAGCGAAGAGGGCACTCAGGGAGAAGCAACTGAAGATCACAGCTGTGCCCAGGAAAGCAGTTGGGATGATGCTGAGTGGAGAGAAAGGACAAGACGAGAGCTAGTCATTACAGAAGGGGTTCTAGTTCCCCAATGTGGCTCACAGAACTTCTACCACTCTCCATGCAAATAACTGGCCATATACAGGGCTTGGAAGCGGATGCCCAAAGAAGAGGTGTTCTGGTGGGCTTCAGAACTTAGCAGGCAAACTGTGTGCGTGGGGGGCGAGGGGGGGGGAGAGATGTTGGCAAGGCTCAGTGGCTGGAATCTTTTCCCAGACTCCCTACTAAAATAAAAATATCAGAAATAGCTTACTAGAGTTAGAGGAAATTACTAAAATGTAGAAAAATTAAAATTGCCTCTGAATGTCTCTTGCCTTTAAAACCCCATGGGGGGGGGGGTCCCCAAAAGTCAGCTGTGACTTGATGGCACAAAAACAACATTATATTACTGGTGAAAACCTGTAGGTGTGGCCCACAACTCCCTGCAAGCGTGACGGAGTGTGGAAGTGAACGGCCAACTGAGGCATTACTGCCTCTTACCTGGGGTTGATGGCGATGACCATCTTCAGCAGAGGTCCCAGGTTAACTCCTAGAGAAGACAAAGGAATACAATGGCATTGGAGAGACCACTGCATGAAAACACAATACTTACATGTATTTGGAAGAAAACACCTGGCTTACGCACGTGAGTCCATCAGAACACAACAAAATTGATCTTTATATGATTGAAACTCAAGTACAAACCATCACATAAGCACCAGCTCTGAGAGGCTAGATAATCAAGGTCAAGTGTCACCACATGGCCTTAACGATACTAACTCAAGTTGCTAAAAATCCATAGATACTCTCTAGTAATACCAAAGGATTGTGCCCATTCCAGCTGGCCCCCTTCACAACACAGAACGCAGAGCCACGTATCAGCTCCTCGTCCCACCCCAGAGGCTCTGGGGGACCCAAGGGCAAATCCCCACTCTGCCAAGTGATCTTGGGCCAGTCACATGAGTCAACCTATGCCACAGGATTGGTGACATCAAAATGAAGAATGAGGAATCCATTTACCTGAGCCTCCAGGGATAGAAGTATGCTAGATTCCAGGTAGCTGAGGTACTGGTGGACGAAACCATGCAAGCAAGGCCAGTGCTAGCTGAGTGGGTCCTTTGCCTCCTTGTTAAGAATACTGGCAATGACCATCTGGGAATCAGGTGCCAGGGAAACCAAAATCAACCTGCCCATACAGTTCCATTATCCTCAACACACACTACCAGCACCACCCAGCTGCCTAGGAGAATTTCAAGCAAAAGCAGCTTCCACATAGTAGCTAATTTCTAAGTGCCGAGGCACAAGGAATCGACCACATCTGCGGATCTCCTTTACTTGTACAAGTAACTGACTTCACCCCAGCTTCTGCCCTGCTCATGAAACATTTCCATTAGGCTGCTGGTGCTTGATTAAACTGTTTGCCTTGGTATAAAAATACACCCCCTTTCCAACGGGAAGAGGATCATCAGCACATACCAGAGAGGAAGGCAAAGCCTGACAGAATGCCCAGTCGTTTCTGCTCCGTTTTCCGGCTGTGGGGTGTGGCCATCAGCCAGATCATAAGGCCAAGAGCTCCCAGACTAGTCAGCAGGCCAAACTGTAAGGAAGCGCAGAAGGAGATTAGTGCACAGACCGGGTCCTGGGCATGGTCTAGATGTTGCTGACAGGGAAGTGGCTGAATCTAACCTGTGGAATTTAATTAGGCAGACCATTTTAGTCACAGTCCCCAGACAGGGTCCAGGGTCCTAGCCATGGAAGGAGCCCATGCTCAACTCCTTCAGTTATTCCAGGCCCTTTTGCAGAATTTTCAGGTTTCAGCCAAAACAAAAATAAATAATAAGAATAAGCCTTCCCCTTGCAGACATCTAAGGAAATACACAGATGCAGTATCTGATCTTACTGCTCTGTGAGAAGTGAATCAATTTCCAGCACTGTGGTCAATTAGTAAAAAGCACTGTAGAGACTGATATGCATCTGCTTTTACACCCCTTGAAACGCAGTATCAGAAATGCCTTTCACTGTATTATACTGAGAATAGCTCTTGGCTGTTTTTTCATTGGTATAGGATGGCTCCCTATGTCTAACAATTAGGGACTATTTCCCAATTTCTGTTTTGAAAGTTACAGCCAATCACTTACTATGCCCAATGAGAAGAATCCCTAGGGAAACTTTAAGGGACTATATATAACACAGCTCACTTTCTAGCCTGTGGCTAAACTCCACAACTCACAAACACACCAAGGGCCAAAATGGTCTTAAGCCCACAGATATGCACAAAGGGCTCTTACCTGCACCAGCTGAGTTACCAGGTTGATGTAAGCACCAGCTGCTGCTACGAACATGCACAGTGCAAAGGTAGCATAGACCTTCTTCAGGTGCTGCTGGGTTGATGTGGAGCTGCAGGGGTTAAGGAAAAGTCAGTGTCATCACATCTCACACACCTGAGAAACAACAGCTCCTCTGGCTGGCCGCTTGCCAGCTCTCAGACACCCAGCAGCCTACACAGAGGAAACACTTCATCTGTCCCGAAAACACATTTTCAAGTGCCTCTGCCAAGACAATCTCACACTCCAGAGCCTCTAGGACTGGGATGTCATGTTCCTCACAGAGGAGAAGCGGAGAGCCAGAGAGAGAATCTGGAGCAATCTGGAGTACCTGGTCACAGAGATTCTCACAAGTCTGATGCTGATGCTTGGTGGGCAGCTGTGTTTCTTTTGCCCTACTGGCACGGCATCTTTCCAGCCCTAGACTTTGGCTTCCATATGGTCTTTCCTAAATTGCTCTCTGTTTCATGACCGTACCTCACAGAGTGCAGAATCCAGTAATGGGCAGCAGTATTACCTCTAAGCTGAGTTAGTGTGAGCTAGCTCACAGTTTCTTAGCCTCCAGCTCACACATTTTTGTCTTAAGCTCAGGAAGGATGGCTCCAGAGCAAACTAATTTATGCAGCAGCTAGATGGCTCGCTCACAACTTTAATGCCAGTAGCTCACAAAGAAGGATTTTTGCTCACAAGACTCCACAGCTTAGAGAGAGCATTGGTGGGCAAGTAAACAGTGTTTTGAGAGTCTCAGCTTTTATTCATCCTCAGTGAAAGCAAATGTCTAACCCTCTAGGCTAAAGACAAACTTGAAAGTAGTAAGGGGTTACTACTTGTGTGTGTGAACAAGATTTCAAAATGTGCACAGAACTAGTACAAATTCAGAGCTCTTTGCCCCTACCATAACAATAAGGACAAATTATGCAGATAATAGCTGCTTAATCTAGACTGCAGAACCCAGCTTGGGGGTGGGGGGGGAGACAGGGAGCTCTTTATCTGGGGTAAGATTTTGATGCTTTTTTGCCTGCATTATCAGGCACCACTATGTGCTCCCAAAGGCATGAAGAGCCTGGTGTGCTTGTACTCCACATCCTCAAGCCCCATCCATGATGTGTGTTCATTGACAGATCCCCACAGGCTTCCAACCATCCCAGTCCAAGGGGTCCGCTGATCTACCTCCTCCCACCCGTGACAAAACCACACCCAAAGTGGGAGGCAAACCAAATGTACACTCACATGTGGGAGAATTTGAAGATGGCATCAAAGTCAATGTTCCTGTTGAAGACGTCCATTGTGCTGGCCAGCAGATCGCTGCAACCCTCTCGTCAAAATAAGCTGCAGAAAAGGGGAGCAAAAGCCACATCAGGTGGGGAAACAGTGCCACTCTTCCCCAGGACCACCTGAGAGCCCCGTGATGCCTGCTGATATCCACCCTTAGAGGTAGCGCTGAACTCCTCCTTCCTGGTTGTCCAAATGACATCAAGCAACAGACTGTGGCCACCCCAAAAGGACCTGGGCTTCTGTCAATGCCCCACCACTAGAAGCAATCCAGAAACACCTGTGGTTTCAGAGGCTCTAGCCTCCTCTCCCTCAGTGGAGCTGTCAGCCATTTGTTAATTATCCTGATCTCACCACCAGTTAAGCTGGGAGACAGCATAACTACTCTTCAAACAAGTGTGGCGTGGCTTCCTCTGAAGTCAGAACATGTCTTTAAGGCCCCGCTTTGTCAGATGTAGAAAGGAAAGCCAAGAGACCCAACCTATGACAGAAGATCCAGTAAGCGGCAAAGAATAAAGTCCTGGAATAGAGGCTTCAAGCAGCAATCCCCATTCCAAGCCATTATACATCCACCTTTGTCCAATGATAGTACCATCCATCACACAGACTCATTATGGTTCCCCTCACTCTGCCATCAGAGTGTGTTCAATGAATCCAATTTCCATTGTTCAAAGAAATCTCTCTGCCAAAGATTCAGTCCTAATCGAGAAATGGGAAGCTCAGTACAGGCTGACCCATGGGGGGAACCCCCCCACACTGCTAAGGAGGAACGAGACCGCTGCCCTCCACTCTGGACTCACCAACTGAAGTCCTGAGACGCAACCTGCTAGGAGGTCCCCCTCTTGCTCCTGGCCAGGAAGATCTAAAGGCTGCAACTGCTTTGCAGGCGTCCCAGCCCTCTTGGCGTATGTGGTGCAATTATTGCAGGTTGTTGCAAGGCTAACCCCCAGGCCCCTGGGGAGCCCCTGGACTCACAGGGGAACTTTGCTTCACAACACAGCAGCTGGAAAGCACTCACATTAGTGTCCCTAATGACCTCCCCAGGCAGGGCCAGAGCAGAGTCAGGGCCAGGCAGCCCCCCCCCCCAGCCTGACGCTGCAGGCAAATGTGTTGTTCCCAAACGCTCTGACGAGGAGCCCCCCCTCCTTCTATGTGCTGCATCAATAGGGACTGGTATTTTGCCCACCCAAGTCAGCACTACCCAATATGCTCGGATAACCTCGCCACACCCTCCCTCCCGCCCTCAGGAGTTCTCATTATATCTGCTAGTGTTTGCTCTAAAACCCTGGGTGGCAACCAGTTCTGCAACTGGCAGCTTATATCCCTCATCAGGCAAGGAAAGAATGGAGGTCAAACATGCAAGCCAGGCCCGGGTTGGCTGGCAGGGAAAGGTGGCGTCATAATGTAATAGGATCATGCAAATATCACAGACATCTTAGTCTGGCTTCTTGATAGGGTGACAAGACGACACCTCCTCCCCTGGCAAAGACGAGAGGTGCTGAACAAAGACTTGCCACACATTCACAATCCCAACAGAACAGTGACGCATAACTAATACTGGCAGCTCATCCTTCCTCCCAAGGAGCTCAGGGTGGTATACTGGGGTCATCTCCCATTTCAGCCACCCAACTGGTTATGCTGAAGGAAGGGGGAGAAGCTGACTTCCAGTCCAAGGTCCCTCAATTTGCTTCAAGGCTGAGCATGGAGTTGAACTCAAGATGCCGAGACTCCAAGTCAGACAAACTCCCCCTGTATCAGACCGGCTCTTTTTATGGCTATGTGGGAATACAAGCGAACCACGCCTCCACCTCAGACAAGCCAAAAGGATTTATTATTTGTAGCTCTTTCCTACATCTGCTTTCCGTAGTCCATCCCTCCCAAGTGAGGTGAGCAGCACTGAAGCACACAAGTATGTTCTAAATTACACTCAGCACAAAAGTGATCCAAGCCAGTGAATGCAAAGATAACTTTGGGGCCCCTTCCTGTGGGTTTTAAGCCCAGGCTTGGTAAAGGTGGCACTGCTGGCAGCTAGAAGGATATGGAAGAAATGTGGACCGCCAGGAGTGTACCCCCCCCCCCGGCTGTTGCTTCCTGTGTGCTTCTGGAGTCCCTCTCGGCACCCTACCGCATTACAGCAAACTGGAGTCATTCCTACTAACATATGGCAACAGGTGGCAATATTTCTGCTAACAGTGCAGAGTGTATTTTCACACAGGCGGAGAGCTAATTCTCCAGATTTAAATTTAAAAAAAAATAAAGAAACCAACTGGTTTATGAAAACACAGAAACCACCTTTTTACTAACTGCAGTAGAGATTGGTGTTTCCAGTTATAGTGCACAGTTCCCACACCCCTGTAGGACTGGCTGCATAGAAGCTGGGACAGCTATTGCAAAGGCAAACTATTCACCAGTTCAGAAGGATGCATTATCCTCGTAAACATTAAGTTATATTTATAGCCTTCTAGAATTATATACATTTGGGGCTGATGCTAAGCACTACATTCTTTTTTAAGAATATGAGATGTGGACTTTGGAAGTATCACTACTGTAGACCTCCTTTACCGAGCAGCTAGAGAGGTGACTATCAGGTGCAAGAACCGGGCGTTGCCTGCAATTTTCCAATACTGCCTTTCAAAAGCCAAACGAACTTTGATTCTTGTTACTTCTAAAGTATTTTATACTTCAAATCCTCACATTTACAATATTTGGTTATGCTACATCCAAGGATGCGGGATTATCTCAGTAGTTTTTGCTTCATGCTGAGCCTGGAACATCTGAATTTAGAGCCTCTTCCCACTCCTTGAATTGCTAAAGAAGCTGCATTTTAAAGATACAGATTTTCAGAGTTTTCGTCAAGATAATGGAACTTTTAAATTGAGATTGATTAAATACAGACTCTGGTGCAAACAAGCTCTACCCAACCAAGTATTAGATGCAAGTGCAAAATGAAGTTTACCAGTTTTGCTGCAACTTCCCTGGAAGGAGATATGGAACAGTATGAGAAAAACACAATTGTGGACATCTGTTCAGCCAGGACTAAAACTAGCAAAGTAAACCCAGGTTCGGATTGTCATGACAGCAGAATAGTAGACCCCCAGCTGCAAGAGTTCATGCCATTTCCAGAGGCTGGCTGAGCGAAGATCATATGAACAGTGTTTTGGAATGGAGAATCAAATTCTGCCAAATAGAAAAGGCAAGAGCTCCCAGAAAGCAGGGTGATCACACTGCCTCAAGAAGTTATGCATATCCACTATCCTATTAGGATCTGTTCTGCATCTAAGGGCTTTTCAGTCACCACACGTCTGCACACAGGACAGGAAATGTCACATTCCAAGGCCCCAACAGCCCCCTTGAAGTGACAGAAGACACCTCCTCACAGCAGATTACCTTGGGAAATCCATGGAGAAACGTAACATGTAATTCAGGCTACAGGTGAACCTACCAGCTAACATGACTCAGTATTGGGGCACCAAAATAGGTCATGCCGGGTGGAGGAAGCTTGGAGAATATCACATGCTAACCACCCACTCCTTCCAGATGCCAACAGCAGTTCAAGAAAGAGGCTGAACTGGACCAATGAGGGCAAATGAGACATCATTGTCAGGCATTTGAGTTAGTAAATTTCTCAGCTTTCCCCATAATCTGCAAAGTCAAAATGAAATAGGCTAGTCTTTCAGTTTCCTACCCTAGGCTCAATAGATTTGGGAAGGGCAGGTGCCTAGAAGATCAAATATCCATGACAAGAGGGGCCACTATAAGCTTGGAATAAGCTCTCCCCGCAACAGTTACCTTATGGAAAATGTTTGTAAAACAGGCAACCTCCTCGCTATAACTTGAATAGTGGCACAAAGGACATGCTAGCTTTAGAAGTGTATGAAACATACTTCTATACGTTTGGGCCACTGACCTATCACGATCAGTTCTGCTTATTTCAACAGTTTGCAGAAGCCACGAAAACAGCCACTATAGTAAGAAGTTACTGCTATATTCCATAATAAGAAAAAACCAACTACCAGTTGGAATTAAAAGCAATAGAAACATACTTCTATACGTTTGGGCCACTGATGCGCGTGTAACAACCAGTTCTGCTTATTCCAACAGACAGTTTGCAGAAGCCACAAAAACAGCCACTATAGTAAGAAGTAACTGCCATATTCCGTAATAAGAAAAGAACAACCACCAGTTGGAATTAAAAGCAATAACAGTTGTTAGTTTGCTTCCCCCAGATTCATATGTCAGACAGAACACAATAATACCCTCAACTGAACGCAACAGATACACTGTCTGGCCTTTTGTTCTGCCTTTGACTATTAGATTGCCCAGAACCACTACAAACACTGTTTGAAAGCATATACAGAAACCAAACTCTTCCCAAGTTTGCATGAAGTTAGATCCAAGGACTGCTCAAAGCAATGCTGCTGCTTCAAAATCCTGAACCAAGGAGAGCGCGTGTAACAATTAGCCACAGCATAACTTTGGCCCCTATCATGTCAAAACCTTCTCTTTAGGAGAGAGGACAGAACTACAAATAAAGATGTGATCAGAAATCCTAGCCATTAGGTAAATGCACCCTTGAAACAGTGAAGGACACTATTGTTCTACAAGGCAAAGTTCAGGAATCCATATTGAAAACTATACTGAATAAGACTGCACCTTAACAACAAACAGTGCTTATTAAGAGACTGATACTTACTCAAGATCAGTGCAAAGCAGTTACAACACTCCTGTATTTCTGTTTTGTAAGACAACTGGGAAGGCTCTTCAGCTTAAATATTCAGGCAAGAGACCGTGTTTGGATATTCATGAATGTTTCATGCTTAATACATAAAACTATCAAATAGAATGTATCTTGCATCCTGTGGAGTTCGTAGGGAAGACAAACCGGCATTTCTTCAGTAAGCACTTTACATCCCTCTGTCCCTCACAGTCTTATCTCAAACCCAAACCAATTATTCAGCGACCCATGTTCATACAAACATGATGGTGGAATCCTTAGTTGGAGTGATCCCATGAATAGGTTCTGGCACCCAAAAGACTGGTAAGTGGCGTCAGTGATTTCTACATGAGCAAATTCAACACAGAAGTAAGACTGTGGGAGGAAGGGGAAGAAGAAGAAAAACTGACCTGGCAGCAAACTCATAGCTCAAGTTCAATAACCAGCCTGTCTATGAGGAAGTGAAGAACCCATGATCTCTTATTAATAAATAACCAGATTAAAAATACCTACAAAAATTTACCACCAGGCGAAGCTTTCAATAAGCCATCCAGGGGCACAATTTTCATTGCTTCCTAACAGTACTTTGACACAGGAACATACTCATTGGCAAGGGGGGCGGGGCAGAGTGCTTACAGTCCCCTTACAGTCCTCAAGAAGGATAGGCTGATCCACACGGGCAGGTGGAAGCACCACACAGTGCCCCACAACAGAAGCTCAGGTGACCACTATGACATCAGAAAGCCAACCAATCATCTTCGAGGTTCTGAACTGTTCTGGAACACTGTGTAACCACAGGAGATCTCGAAGGCTAGTCAAAGGACAGACTTTGACAAGATTAAAACCATAGGGAGAAAAAAGGCTCAAAGATATCTGTTACATTAATAAGTTACTACTCTACTTCCCCAGACGACAACTTCAGTATTCCAACTTTGATTATACACCAAACGGAACAATTAAGAACTGAGCAATACTAAGCTACAGAACATATCCCATCCTTCTTAGCCGAGACTAAGTAACATACCTATCATCCTTTTAACACCCAGTTGTAAAACTGGCTTTCAACTACCACTTTAATTAATCCCACAGAACAATATTGAGTCCTTTCCCCACAGACACCCCCATGGTTGAGGTTTGACCTTACTCTAATCATGCCAAGCTCAGGGGAAACTTCCAAATTTGAAACAGCTCTCTAACCCACACAACAGCATGTTCAGAGCAGGTGAAGGACCCACACCAGATGTCCACTCTATTCCAAGAAAGGTGATTAATGGCCAAAGCTGGCTTTGGCTAAATCTTCAATTCAATGCATGTGTGCATGAAACTGGCTGTTGTCCAACTTGTTCCACACAGGAACCAACAGGAATTTAGTAATTTAGTAACTACATCAACAATCTTGTTCTAGAACATTTAGAGGTTTGCACAAAAGTCAACATTGTCACTGAATTTGCCAGACCTGTGAAAATGTCAGTGGACCCCTCTGATCTGTAACTAGTTACAGAGACAAGAAGAAGCGATTGGATTTATACTCTGCCCTTCACTACCCAAAGGCGTCTCAGAGCGGCTTACAAACTCCTTTCCCTCCCCCTCCCCACAACAGACACCCTGTGAGGTAGGTGGGGCTGAGAGAACTCTGACAGAAACTGCTCTTTTTCAAGAACAGCTGTGCCAGAACTATGGCTTACCCAAGGTCATCCAGCAGGTGCAAGTGGAGGAGTGGGGAATCAAATCCGGTTCTCCCAGATTAGAGTCCACGCACTTAACCACTACACCAAACTGACAAAATTTAGCCACAAAGCAAAAAGAAAGGGGTGAGGGAGATATATATTCCAAGCTGCAGTGTTCAGTTCCTGAAGAAAGGCACTGGGACTTAAACCTGCCCAGAAGCTATGCCCTCTCTCTTAGAAGCCCTGCTCCTTAATTTTATGGGCACAACCTGCAAGAGGCCCACAGTAACGGTCAGTCGCACTGCACAAGCTCACAGGCCCTTATTTGTTCACACATTCCAGGTGCAACACTAAAAATATTTCAGAGAGACAACCAATCACAACAAAGTCTCTAAGGTGTTACTGGAGTTGAACCTGTTCTACTGCAGATCAACACGGCTACCCTCTGAAGCTTGTAAAAAGCCAGCTACCTCACCCAATTAAATGTTTTTCAGTGAGACTTCAATCCCTCAGACAGGCCAAGGATTTCAGTTTACCAACAGCTGTTCATAGTAAATAGGGTCTCACTGAGCCTGGGGTTTTAACTTGACAACTGGTAAAAATACATGCCAAGCACTCGCATGTTAAGAACAGATGTATGATCTTTTGGAAGGAGACTATGAGGGAGAATTTGTCAAAACATCCTTTAACACACACCCCTTTCTTACACTCTTTGCAAGAGAGCAACAAATGTGTAATCTTTCCAAAGATAAGCCATTGAAACACATGAAGAGGAGAGACCAACTCTAGCATTCACACATCCATGACGTTTCATCACAACTCCAAAGGAGTTGCAGTAAAATTAAACATGGATCCAGCAGCACCTTAAACATTAACATTTATTTCAACATAAACTTTCAGAAGTCAGCTCCTCCGACGCATGCAACAAATTTCCTTAGCCTTTAAAGTGCTATTGGACTCCTGCTTAATAGTTCAGGCCACACTCCACTCCCAGAGCCGCAAAAATGCCACCTTTCCTCCCTTATGTTGCAAGCAAGGCTTCCTCCAGAATATGCAACAGAAAACAACAACGCAACCCCACTCAGGACCTCTTAACACCGACGAATCAACTCGAAAGAGAAACAGAATCCGATTATGCAATGCCTATTTCTAAACTGGCGTCATTCTAGAGCAGCAGGAAGCTTCCGTCACCAAGTCAGCAAACCCACAGGCAGGAACACGGCGTCACGTGGGAAGGCAGGCCCGAGGGTCTTGCAGCAAAGCCCCGGGACCCAGATTTGTAGAAGGTGGCCCAGTACGGCTTCTGCTCACAGCGACAGAGGAAAATTCCCAGCCACCGGGGGGGAAGGGGAGGGAAAAGAGGGAAGGGTCTGGGAATGTCGATGACGTAGCTTCTCACGACGCCCACACTAAAGAGTGACAGACGGAGCCCGACCAGGAGAATCCATTTTGAGAGCTGCCGACGCAGAGAGGGATTCCGAAGGGGGAGGGGCAGGCGGAGGGATACACAGAGACGAGCACAGGGAGGTGCGGCCGCCACCGAAGAGAGGGCGGAGGACGCGATTTCAGCGGACAGGCTGACCCAGGATTGCTAGGAAGACCGAACTGGAAGGGGGCCTTGGAAGCCAACAGCGGGTCCCGCGAGTCTCACCTGCTTCCGCTAAGCTCCCCGTCGCAGCTCCCAACTGACACAGGCGTTCCCGACCAAGCCGTGGGTGTCTATGTCCGCCGACACTCCTCTATCCGCCTCCGCCCCCTCCAGCCCTTATCCCCTCTCTCCCAGTCCTATTGGTTCACTGCACCGCAAGGTCCCGCCTAAGCCTCTTATTGGTTCTCTGTCCTCGCTCGGTTCTTCCATCCCCAGATGGCGAGGAAGGGGGAACCATTTTGTCTTTTCTATTGGTCACCCGGCCGCGCCCTAGTAGATGCCATTGGCTTCGCTCAGAAGAACGGCAAACAAAGGACGGCTGAAGGGAGGAGGTGGACGTTGATTGGCTCCCGACGTCCGGCCAATAGGCAGCGTCCTAGATGGATTAGTACACTCCCTCGGCTCCAATTTGTCAGAAGCTGCACGCGACCTCCTCCTGGAAGGAGTGCGATGTGCACCGCGTATGTGGGGGGTGGGGAGGGTATTTAGCAGAGCCTAATTGAGTGAGGGCCCCCCCGCGCCGATGCGTCCTGGCCTGCACTGCCACCTACTGGTGAATGCTGCTCACTGTAGGTAGTGTACTTGGACGGTGCTTCTCCTGTGAAGTACGGAGGCTGCCGATGCCACTGTAGTGCTTCTGGCCTGTTTTGGAAAGGGATGCCGAACAGTTCGAGGATTGGGCAGAAGCTGATGCGGCGTCCTTGCTGCACCTACCAGATGTCACGGGGCAGCCGTGATGAACAGGGGGAACCAACAAAACACAAGGTGGAAGCTAGAGGGACGTGGGAGCAGAGAGTAAACAGGAGTGGGGGCAGGGCCCCCCCTGGGCACACCCTGAAAGGCACAGGCCTCTGCCCAACAGAATGGAGGCAGCAGCACAAAAAAGGGGAAAGGAGACCTGCACTCCCATGCACACCAGGAGCAATTCTATGCAAGTCCACCCAGAAGTAAGCCGGCCGGGGTGTCGTGCAAAAGGACCAACCCCCAGGAAAGCGGCACACGGAGGGCAAAAGGCAGCACCTCTGAGTTCCCAGCCGCACTGGGGTTTGTACCAGCTGCAGCATCTGGGCCAGGGTGCATAGCCATCCTGCTAGTCTCCCCTGAGGCTACCCAACCCTCCCCTCTTGGGATTTGGAGCCCACCATCTGCAATACTTCATCCACAGCTGCTTGCCCTAGGGACTCCTCAATGTTCAAGGGTGTGAAGATGCTCCACAACTCGGGCAGAGAAGGTCAGGGCGACAGAGGCTGGGAGGCAACAGAGAACAACTCATTGGTCTTAAGATTGGTCTGCATCATGCCCCGTGTCCACAACCACCTCACTTCTGTTGCCATCCGCCCCTGTTGCCATCGCAGTGGAGATGGCTGCCCCATCACTGACCTTCATCTCCTCATGGCTCGCCACTGTGGCAGGGGTGTGGCCTGCCAGTTCCCCCCTGGAAGGATCAACCAGGGCAGTTGATGGGCCCACAACAGCACTGGTGTCCTTGTCCTCTGGGCTCACACCCAGGCCCACAATCCCCAAGCTGATATGCACCACACTGACTGAGTCACCTGTAGAGGGAAAGGCAGGTTTGAGCGGACAATGGGGGGGGGGCAACCCCTGCTGCTACTCTAATGGTGGAGCATGGCTGCAAGGCCACATACCTGCTAGACAGGACTTCAACACTGTGACAGGAGGGATCACCGCATGCAGTATGGCCTCAGCAGATCTTCCAGCACTGCCTGCTTGTAGGGCCATGAGGCCCACACTTGCCTCCAAGTCAACCCAAAGGAATACTTTCACTGCTTCAGGGCAGGCAGCCTGGCCCAGGGCAGAGACTTGCTCCTCCCCCATGTGCCAGAAGGCATTCAGGCGAGCACTCACGGAGCTGTCTCTGGTGGTAGTGAGTGTCACACTGGCATGCTCCAGCACCCGCCCATAATGCGGGAGCTTTTCCACCTCAGTCCAGTTGGGCTGCCCATGGGGATTGCTGCCTGCTGGTTTCAGCATAGCCAGGGCATCATGGCAAGCATCCTTAAAAGTCCCGCCTCTCCTCCAGGGCTCTGAACCAATCCTTGTGATTTAGGCTTCATGTTAGTCCAAGTGACTGTCAGCCAATCAGAGCCCATGGAATTCCACTGGATGGGAGGGGGTGAGCCAACCTCAGCTTTAGAAGTTAGAAGAAACCTTTTTTTAAACTTCTGGACAGGGATTTCATGGCTCTGGGAAAGAGCGTCAGCTTAACCAGGCTTTTATTTAGCTTTTTAGTTAGGGTTTGGGGTGGTGTTTTTGTAGGGAAGAAAGCCTATTTTAGTGTGACAAATAAGCATCCTGTTACGGGCCCATCATTCCTAACTGGTGTGTGTAGGTTCTGTGCTAAGGTGCTCTGTGAGCGAAAAGAGCAGTCTTGACCCTGTTGAGGTACCCTGCCCAGAGAAAGGTGAATCAAGTCTCCCCTCAGGGGTTATTTATTTTATTTGAGAGTCAGCTTTACTTTATATATCTAAGTTATCCACACATCATATTTACCTTAATAAATACTTTATTTTCTGTTAAGTAAACCTTAGTTGTTCCTCTCCATCTCTGTCTTGTCTGTCAAGTCAAAAACCTAAGAAGCAGGGGTCTCTGTTTACCTCACATGTAAGTACAACCTTAGTCTAGCAGGTTTGCAAATAAGAGACATTTAGGGAGCACATCGTTTACACGCTACGAATCTTTATTTTAAAGTTTGTCCCCGTTTTTCTTTGATTGTGGGTGGTTGGGGTATAAAGAGTCTACAGGAGAGCCGAAGTGAGGGATTGGATCTTCATCAGACCAGAAGGCAGTGGCCTCAGAGCTTTCCCCCTTCTCTCGCCCCATAGCCGCCACAGCCACCATGCTGCAAAGGAATGCAGGCACCATAGGAACCTCTGGACAGAGGAAGAAGAAGAAGAAGAGAGAGATTGGATTTATACCCCGCCCTTCACTTGGGAGTCTCAGAGCGGCTTACAAACTCCTTCCCCTTCCCCTCCCCACAACAGACACCCTGTGAGGTGGGTGGGGCTGAGAGAACTCTGACACAAACTGCTCTTTTTCAAGGACAGCTGTGCCAGAGCTTGTGACTGACCCAAGGTCACATCAGTAGCTGCAAGTGGAGGAGTGGGGAATCAAACCCGGTTCTCCCAGATTAGAGTCCACACACTTAACCACTACACCAAACTGGTGTACCTCCTGCCAGCCACAAGATAGACATGGGGCAGCTATGGGGTGCCTTCCGGGCACCCCCTGGGGACAGCATTAGGAGATTGGGCCTGAGCTGCAGGGGGCTGCTGTCCATGATTACCAGTGTGTAGGGAGTGATTTAAAGAGGGAAGGGAGCTGCCAGAAACATTCCCTGTCACAATCCACCTTTAGGATCAGTGTTCCCAGACAAGCCTCTGGTCAATATTTGATGGCACACATTCCATGTGGCTGTAGGACCTAATTTGATCCTGTTTTCAGACCAGGGAAGAGTACAGTGAGTGAACCTGTGAGATGCTGAGAAAGAAGGTTGCCTGTGTCACCTTTTCCTACATACCAGACTCATCCTTCCGAGAGAGGAGGGGTCTAGGCATAACAGGAGGCCTCCCCACTCAATCCATTCTCCTAACCAGCCCCTCCTCTCCTCAGCTACCAGACGACATACAGCAGGATGGTGGCCTTTCCATCCAATGCCCAGCCTGGGTTCTGTCTGACTCATCTCCTGACCATGCTATTTGTGTGGCTGGCACAGTAATGCTGCCGGGGTGCTGTGCTGAGTACTACCGAGACTGCGTCAGCACCGTGCTGCTTGTGGACTCCACCTACTTGGAGCAGTTCCACCTGGACAGGGTGGCCAACCAAGCCCTTTGTTAGGAGCTTGGGTCATTGCTGCAGGGTCAGGCGCTTGCCCTCAGGCCCATCTCTGATCCTGTGAAAGGTGCAGCTGTTCCTGTTTCCTTGCCACAGGCTTATTCCAGGCAGTAGTGGTCAAGGTGCTGAAAGTGTCCCAGTCCTTGGTGAGCTGCTGCCTCCATAGCTTCCTGGATGCCATGCTGCTGCACCTGCAGGAGGATGTGCACTTCCCCACAGACGTATTGGAGTTGACCCTCATCTGTGCTGGGCTCTCTGCATTTGTGGACTTCCTGAACATCGTGGGAGGCTGTGGACTGCACCCACATCTTGCTCATCACCCCAGGGACAAGCTACAGGTCTTTATCAACTCACACCATTTGTACAGCTTGAATGTGCAAGCCAGTTGTGACCACAAGTGCATCTTCATGGACTTTATGGTCAGCTTCCCAGGGAGAATGCATGATGCACAGATCTTCATGATGTCCAGTCCCAACCACCTGTTGGCCGCCTGGCTGAACAGCAAGGGATGGGTGTTGGGTAAGTTCCCCTGCGGGGGGTGAGGAAATGGCTGTCCTTTTCTCCACCACAGTTGATCAGGACTACTCTCTGCTCCCAGCCTGCTCACACTGTATGCCAGGGACAAGCCAGCGGACCAGACCACCTACAACCAGGATGAAAGTGGACTTCAGTTGCCTACACCACACTAGGGGGCCGCAGGGTCAAGCAGGCCCTGAGTGTTGGCAAGCTGTTTGTCATATGTGCCATGCTCTACAACATGGCCACTCAACAACTGGAGAGGGGGAGAACTTCTGGCCCAGGGACACAGGGGACGGACCACCAGAGTTGGCAACAGTTGGCCAGATGGTCCAGGACATTGCTGAGTGGGTGCAGGTCTGGGAACACATATGGAAGCAGAGGTAGTCCCTCAATGGTGCCCTAGCCCATACCACACCAGCCCATGGTAC